CGGAGCCCGCATCCTCGCAACGCGATATCACAAATTTGCGCTACAGGTTCTCTGCGACTTATCGACAGTTAAGTAATCCAAAGTATGGAGTAAAATCAAGATCAAGGCGAGGAGGAAAAAAAACTCCTGAAATGAGCATACCATTTAAATTTAATCGACAACTTTCGCAATTTTACGTACTATTCGTTCATGACTTTCTCGGAAACGATATTATTAATAGAAGAAGATTACGTCAGTTTCGCAAGCGAGACTCTAATGACGCAAATATGCAATCCACTTTCGAAATAACGATTTTTTTTTTATGCGAACAAATCCCGAAATACCGATGTAATGCCACGATTCGAAGACAAGCGAGGACGGAGGGATTGCGTAATGATTTTTGACGTTGAAATTTCTTTAAGAGGGTCGCGATACGATGCGTACCTGCGCGTGTGTACCGACGTCGCCGGGATATTAACTATATTCATTCCGGGGTCTCGAGCTGCTCCGATCAATAATTCGTTCCCCAGCTGTCACGCCCCTCGCAGACGAACGATCGAGTGAACGAGCGAGCGCGGTACCAACGAAAATTAACTCTTATGACGCTATAATTATTTATTTTTTTTTTTTTCGAGCACCGAAATTTGTCGTCGAACATTCATTAAATTCTTTCAACCAGAGATTATATTGTCCCCGATTATCTTATGATTTTTAAAAGCTACTCCGAGGATACGAAGAGAACGATCGATATTTACTCATGTAAATCATCGGCTTCTTCAAAAATCTGCTTCAAAATTGTTCCCAGTCCCATTCCTGGGTATCCAAAAATTCGACAAGTGAAGCAACGATTCCATTCGGATTGTTGACGATGATATCTTCAATCGGATAGATACCAGACAATTTTAGACCATATCTAAGGTGGGTTGGACATTCTTCGATCTACCTTCGACGGATTAATTTTACTCTCTCCCGAAATTTCGACAGAGAATCGATAATTTATCCGACGACGAAGTTCGCCGATTTAAGCTCGCCGCTTTTTTTTCGAAGATCCCTCCGACCCTCTCTCTCGACAGACTCGACCTTTGCCAGCCGGGTAACGGGTTGCCAACGCCCTCAGAAAACTGAGATACCACCAGCTGTGTTCACCCGCTTCATTACCTACCGAGTGAACGCAGAGTGGCTCCCTGTCCTCCGAAAGCTCATTCCGCTGATCTCTCTCGTACATGCCGGTTCTTACCGACCGGATAACGGCCGTGTAATCATCACGCGGTGCCCCTCGTCTCGCGAGTCCCAACGTTTATCTCGAAAACGTCGTATTGTCTCCTCTATACCAAGCGCACTACGCAAACGTAACGTCTCGTTATCGATTGAGCTTTTTAACAACGTCCTCCCGCATCATACGATACGTCTCTGATAACGCGAGAGATTCCAGAGACCCTCTTCCTCATTTTTAAAATCATTCTTAAAATATCTCGAAAAATATTTTTTTTTTAAATTAAAATGTATTGTTTATTATTATTATTAGTATACGATACGTCTCTGATAACGCGAGAGATCCCAGAGGCCCTCTTCCTCATTTTTGAAATCATTTTTAAAATATCTCAAAAAATATATTTTTTTTAATATTTAAAAAAAATAAAAATATATTATTATTATTAGTATATTATTATTATTTTATTAGTATATTTTTTGCGCGTCGCGTATTGTTTTAATAATTACTAAAGTGGATAACACGCAAAAACAAGATGATTAAACGCTTACGGCTTATTGATACAGGTTTTACAGCTATTGAATGCCAAATGCCCCGAAAAGAAAAAATTAATAATGACGTCTCGTATCTGCGATCGAACGATTACTCTTGCAAAACAAGAGTAAGAAACTATTGTAGCAATTACCGCGTATCATTAATGAACATTTGATGTAGCGCAGACTCGCGTCTGATTACGCATGACGTATATCCATTCTTGCGTAACCTTGAGCCGAGGCACGGCACGGAAGCGATCGAGAGAAAAATGCGTCTTGATTCTCTTCGACGCATTTACGGGCGTCAAAAAAAATCGTATTAAGTAGATGAATTTTTATTTTTATTCCGCGCATTATTATAATACGTTCGACGATTTAATATCTGTACCTCTTTCAGCTGTCGAATCACGAGTCGTGCGAAAATTTCGATAAATTCCACCTCGCACAGAGATATCAAAATTGAGAACGCGAATAAAATAATAGCACAAGGACAAAATGATAGAGAGCCCGGGGAAATAGATGCTGGATGTCATAAAGAGAGATTCGGTACACGTGTCCATTTAGTGTCACGCGTACCTCTTTTTTCATCTTCTCATGAATATCGGGGAGAATTAATCCGCCCCGCTTGTCAGATTGGACCGTAGGATACCAAAATTCCCCGTCAACATTCTAAATTACATCACACGAGGCTTCGGTTAAGACGAAGGCTACGACGAGGAAATAATACATAATTAAGTCGTTGAACGATTCGAGCATCATGAAGAAGCCATGACGTCGCGTTCGATAAAAACAGGTCTCGCGCTCTGTTGATTTAAAGCACCTTGTGGATTCGTGTATTACACAGCGAGCTATTATCTCTCTCTCTCTCTCTCTGTCTCTCTTTCTCTCTCCTCTTATCACAGCGTCTACGACGCTGCGTTCTATCTTGAATAGCGTCGACGGAGGAGAGCGGCGTGTTTTGCGAGCACTAGTGGCACAATCTGCGGCGAAACCGATGCCACGACTTGACGCGAGGCGACGCGATGCCAGGGCCACGCGTTCCAAGGTCAACGCGATAAGTCGGTCAGAAAGCGCGGGGGTTATCGCATAATTCGTTCGGCGCGTTTAAATGGAAAGTCCAACACTCGCCGGGTCCCTTCCTGTTTTTTTTTCCGGCAATTTTGAGCGGCGACAATTTCGTCTCTCCTCGCAAAATTTGTTGCAATTTGTTGAAAAAGAATTAACTTGGTTCTTCGTCTAATGCGTGAGTATAAATTTATCGGTAAATTGCGGTAAGCTATTTGAATATAGTTTTTATATATCACATATTTATATATTTTATTTTTTATTTTTCTACGACAGTCTCTTTGTCTCATTTTATTTATTAAAAATTATTTTAAGCATTATTAAGATTGAATTTTTGTTCCTCACAAAAATGTTTGCAATTGCATTTGTACTCTTTAGAGTTTTTTATATCAGATGTTTACATATTTTATGATTACTTTTTTTCAGGATAGTCTTTGTAATTTTGTTTATTAAGAACAGCGAGTTATTAAGATTAAATTATATTGACGAAATTTATGAATTTTCTAGCCGCGTTTATTTATCGATAGAAACATATGAATGATCGAGCATAGAATATGCTGCGCATGTATGAAAAAAATTGTGGGTCCATAGTTCATGAATGACGCAGCTAAAAATGGCCCACCCGATGACGCACTATTTCGGCGTACTCGGGCAATCGTGCCAAGGTTTGGACAATTGCGTGTTACGAAATATGCGCAACAACCGTAACTTTTAACCGTAACCCTTCCATTCGATCGCTATTTCATCCATATATTATTTCTTCGAATTTAATTCTCTCTCATTTTTCTCACATCGAGGTATTATTATTCGATAAAACCAAATACATTACGCATCAGGCATCTTCTTATACGCGGTATCGTGTTATTTATATCGATAATCCAGAAAATAAAAAGTAATCGAGATGCTTAATATTCTTACATTTTGTCATCGTCTGCTAATTACGTAAGAGCGATCGTCGCGTTGTAAACGACGTCGATAGAATCGCCTCCGGTCGAGAGACCTTTGTTTAGAGCGATAACCGACGAGAGCCAATTTCTCTGCGAGCGGCGCAGAAAGTTGTTTTCGGAAGCTCACAAAGCGGGGCTTCATTGAGAGCGCTTGGAAACGAGCCAATAGGAAATCACATAGCAGAAAGTCTGTCGCGCGCCGATCGCGGCGTCTGTTTCAAACGTCACGCATCATGACGCGTGTGCGTACACCCGATATATCGGATCACCGTGATTGCGTATCCGAGCAAAATCAAGGAAAATAATCAGCACCAACGATATTCCCGTTTCAAATGATCTGCGAATGATAGTAAAGTGACGTGTCTTGATACGAACAGCTTTGCGTACGTTTTAATTTCGTGTAATGCGTACTAATTTACATTCATTATCACATATTGTTTTATCTTGTTTCTGCTCGGACACACTCGGTGAAGGAAAAAAATACAGATTCATTTACACCGCACAATTTTTAGACACTACGCAACCGACTCTACTTCCTTTCGTTTATTTTTAAATATTATATAAATATTATATAAATTATATAATAATATTATATAATAATATTATATAATAATATGATATAATAATATTATATTATATAATAATATTATACAAATATTAAATATTATATAAATGAAGGATTTTTTATTTCAAAAATAATTTATAACGTGTTATGAGACATCTCACAATTATTGTCTAAATAAAGCTTACAATACTGTTACATATTTAAAAGCAAAAAGTGATTTGTCAACTCTGTATAATTCAGATTACGTCATGTTGCTATCAGATTCCATGGTGCCGTAATAGGCTATTTTCTTTATCGACAGATATAGTCCATTCTCATTTGATTATCATTTCCTATCTTATACGCGCTTTGTAAATAAAGATACGAGATTTCGAGTCAATATCGCGTAAGCGGTGTTGAAAATTGTGATGTGTAAACGATTTTAAATCTCTCAGGAAAAAAATAAATAAAGATCAATCTGGGTGATTAATTTTCTTAGTCTTTCATTAATTTTAATTCCTTGCAATTAAAAAATTTTTCATTATTTAATCAATCGTAAAACATTTGTTAATTTTTTATACGTCAGTAATTAATCAATGATTAATTATGTGTATTTGTAACGAAAAAGTCGAAAGAGAGGAACATATGATTTCCAAGATTGATCTTATTCAATAAAAGAGAGAGTTACTGTCCACTATGATTATGTACATGTATATACTTACAATCTGCTGCTGGGCTCGTTGCTAGCTTCATCGCCTTCGATCCGATACACCTTGCCGGACATGACGTACTCGAAGCTGTCCGCCCTGGAACCACCCTCCTGCTCTATGGGGTTCCATTCGTTGCCATCTGGATATCCGTCTTCGCGCAACGTCGTCGCCAACACGAGACGAAATTTGTCACCTGAATACACAATAACATTTTGTTACACGCAAGAATTTTACCTTATACAGAGTACATTCGTTGTGAATATACTTTTTAATTCATATAATTAAAGATGTATATATAAAATATATATATTTTATATTTTATATATATATATATATATATATATATATAATACATTATATATATATTATATATAATAAAGATATATAATTAAAGATATTAAAAAGATATTAAAAAGATATAATTAAAGATATATAATTAAAGATATTTTTAATTAAAGCACAAAGGTTCGAAAATTCGCTGTTCATATCAATTAAAATAAATATATAATTAATACATAATAAAATTAAAATAAACGGCACTTTATTCGTCATCGCAAATAAATAAAAATTCATCCGCATCTTTTCCCCACGAACGGATTATTTTAAATGCAATTTCCAAGAGGGGAAGAAAATTCTTTCTTATAATAGCGTGAGATTATCGATGGCAAAATGGAAAGATGACTTCAATGATAGATTAATGACTTATTCTGCATAATATATGCAGCAGGACCGACATAAAGTTTGAACGAGGAATAATCTCGATATTGTTTTCGATCGCAAAAAAATTCCAACATGTACAATGATGGAATAATAGGGTCCAATACTGATAGCGAGTGCATCGAAAACATTTTGCCCACCGGTTGCATCAGTCGCTGCATCTAGAATATTGTTGATGGTCATGTAAATCAATGGATTCGTTCTTTTTATTGCGTCTGCGATATCAATGAAAGTCCGCGAGATGCGGATTTTGCATCTTGCACAAGTCGTAAAAAACCAGTATCGTACTTGAAAATCGAGATTGCACGTTTGAATTTGATTAATCGAGATAAAAGAGAAACGAGAGATTTCTTTATGCTGGTCAAATTCCTCAATTTCAATAGAATGATACTAACTTTAGGCTTTAGAATTAAAGTAAAAGAATTTGCGATAGAATAAAAATAATGATGCACCTCGATAATTGATGAAAATTCATAATTTTGCCATTCATAATTTTTTGTCACGCTCATTATATTTACATTTATGCATTTATTATAAATGTAAAATGGACTTAGAATCATTTTACTTGCTAAAATGTTAACTATCGCGAGGTAGAATTTATATAAAATTTTAAGTGTAAAAATAAAAGTATCTATCTCGAGACAATTAAATCGATTTCAAATTTCGAGTTGGATTAATTAATTCAAATTAAATTAACTCAAATGACGAGATATTAATGGCCGTGTAGAATGTTAAGAAGAAAATGAGATTGTTGGTTTAAATTTAATTAAATTAATATCGTTAAATCAAATTGATTTAAGGGGATTTAAATTTTTCGACTTCGGATAAAATCGATAAAATTGCACATTGTACTTATCAAAGTAGTCCTATTATATCATCACATACGCTTTTAATGTCAAAGTGTAATACAATTTACCTCGCTTACATGAAATTAGACTCTTCCGGGATTGCGATTCGAGATCGATACAGGAGGAAGCGGGACATAAGGAAAGATGCAATGTATAGAGAACAGAAATAGGAGTAGCTGAAAGGAGGTCGCAATATATAACATTAGAGCGAAATTGGGGCAGACAAGGAGATGAAAGATTTTGAAAAAAAGTCACGCTTGAAACAACAAATATTATACCGTTTACTTATTCCATGCATATCCCTCGCAAGTAATAATAAATAAAGATTTATACTGTTTCTCTCGGGTCCGTTAGTTTCATAAAACATGGCAAATAAATCAACTGAAATGGTTGTAACTGACTAGGTAAGCTATGCCACGAATTTATTGGTTTAATACAAGAATTTTTTTTAATTAAACGAAAGATAATCCTCTCTCTTTGCCTTCCACAAGAGCAACCTTTGAATTCATTTATAAAGCAAATTATCACGTAAACACGTGAAATTTTACGCACAACGAGATTCCTCGTCGTTTCCCACATAACCCTGGATTAGGGCGATATGTAAAAAGACCCGGGACGCAAGGTCAAGGTTAAGTACACGCCACGGTAGATACAGTGCGGGCTTTAATCGATATTACGTCGTTGGCGCCGCCGCTGTCGCGAAGATCGCCTTACGCAGGTATATTAAGATATATATTTGCAAAACAAAAACACACAAGCGCAATCTTGAATTAATAATCGACTAACGTTTCTATTTTATGACATTTACATGTTTACTTATCGTTATTTTTATATCGTTCATGTATATTTTTTTCTTTATTTTCGCTTAAATTTTATACCGATTTATTTAATTCTACAGATTTATATTATATTTATTTACTCCATATTTTTATTTATTTTATTATATTTAACGTTATTATTTTGTTATATATTTATTTAAATCCTACGTATTTATTTCATTATATCTAACATTATTTATATTATATTTATTTACTCTATATTTTTATTTATTTTATTATATTTAACATTATTATTGTGTTATATATTTATTTAAATACTCCATATTAATTTCATTACACCTAAACATTTTACTATATTCGACATTGTATTTATTTAATAAAAAATTTAATTAATAATAATTCATTTAATAATGTCAAAATCAATTAAACAATTATATCGTAAATTTCGGCACATTCAGGCAGCAATAAAAAAAAAGAAGGGATTTTTTGCACGTCGCAGATAGCTGAATCGCAGGAGGCTGAATTTGTCATTTGTCACGCGGTTATCAGCGGGAACGAGAGAGAATCAGGAAAACCGGTCACAATTGATCTCACCGCTCTCCACAAAGAGTAGATGGGTACGTAAGCCGGGCTTACATCATAATGGTGCCACATCGTAACAGTGGCAGCCTACTACATATACATCATCCAGTCGTGCGTCGTGCGGTAATATCTCGCGCTTAAATTAACCCTCATTCAACCGAAACGCCATGTCCGATGAATGAACACACGAGAGAGAGAGAGAGAGGGAGCGAGAGAGCGAACTCGGCATAAAATCTCGATGTGTAAAACCTTCCGAGATTTTATTCGAAACGCGCGACGCGCAAAATATACTCGGAATCGAGCGATCCCGGAGAAATAAACGAGGGAAACAAAAAGAGGGAGGAGGGAGGGGCGAGAAGGGGGAAAGGAATTTGCACGAGATAAGAAGCGCGTGCTTCGAAACGATTAGAACCCAGGTTCTAAGGCGGTAAAGATAAGGAGGAAAAAAATAATCACGAATGATCGAAGAGCGGGGGGGCGGACGGCGAGAAGGGGGAGAGAGGGAGGACAGTCCGCGTCCACCCCGATAATTCGCCGGAGTGCATGCGTCAACAATATTGATTACGCGTAAAGTATGACCCGATGACTAATTCGGGCCGATTAAGGATCGGTTGAAACGCGGAACCGGGAAGAGAGGCCCGAAGCGCGCGATTGACGACGGTGACCTTGAGAGAATCGCGGCGGTTCTCCCGCGCGCGCGCGCCCGAGGGGAGGAGGGGGGGCGACCCTCCCACGAAATCGATAACGCGTGACAGCGCGCGGTCGACGACGACGTGTATTATACGTACGTGTATCGTACACGCATACACGCGTATGCGCGCGCGCGCGCTTCGGGAACGGGATCCCCGAACGAAGCGGCCCTTACCTCTCTTCGCAGCGTCCGTCCGGGTCCTGTCCGAAATCCGCCGCCATCTTGGCCGGTGACGCCGTCGCCTGTTGGCGCAAGTGCAGATTCACCTGCGCCGTTCACGACCTTGCCGGGTCTCTTCCGGTCTGGAGCGAGGAGATCCACGGGATTCACAAGCAAGACACTCTCTCTCTCTCTCTCTCTCTCTCTCTCTCTCTCTCTCTCTCTCTCTCTCTCTCGGTCGCGCACAAGCTGCTGCTCTCCTTCTGCCCCCCCCCCCGCCTTCTCTTCGTCGTCGACGCCCACGCGCGTCTATCATCTCGTTGTCGTCGAGGACCTCGGGGACGAGCGAGGAGGAAGGGAAAGAGGGAGAGAACGTTTTCGCGAGCCGGCGTCGCGCTCGAAACGTCAGCTGTCATTCCGGCTGTCAACCTGTCGGCGGCGCGTCGCCGAATCCGGAGGAAAAATATTGGAAAAAAAGAAAAAAAAAGAGGACTCCCTCGAGACGACGGCACTCCGGTGTCTCAAAATGTCCGCTCGCCCGTTCCGTCGAAGGCGAGCGACGTCACCCGCGTCGGAGCGGAGTCTCTCTTCCCCGTGGGAGACTTTCGTCGACGGCACCTCGGACGACGCGAAACTCGCTACGACGACGCCTCCTCTCTCGCGTCGACACGGAGGAGGCGAAAGCGGAACGTTCGCGGACGTTCGCGGAACGACACGGCGCGCTTTACACTCTCCCCGTCGTCGAGGAAGAGACGAGTATACGCGTCGTAAAGAGAGAGAGGGGCACGGGGCACTCGCGAGGGGGCGTACGAGCCGCGCGCGCTCACCGCCTTTCCTCCTCGAGGACGGACGAGCGATCGCGCGCGCCCGCGACCGACACGGCTGCGAGTCGTGGCCGCTTTGACCTTGGCATTGAACTTGTGGGCGCCGCGCGGGGGAGGGCGGGGCGCGCGCGGCGGGCAAACCTGCGCCGCGGAGTGGGGGGAGCGCCGCGGAGTGGGGGGAGCGCAGCTGAGAGCCGGCGAAACCGGGGGGGCTGGGGAGGGGGTGGGGAGGGAGGACGGAGAGGGAGGGAGGGAGATTGCGTCATCTCGCGCAAGCCTGAACGCCGCGCGTCAATACAGCGGAGACTCTCGCCTGCCTGGCCCTTATGGACTAACCTTCCCTCTCGCGTACATACATGCGTATTCGCATGTGTGTGCACATACGACTGTCCCTATCTATTTATCTTTCTGCATGTCGAACGTGCGCAATAAATACGTGTGAGTGTGACGCGCGCGTGCGCACTGCGATTTTTTTATCTAATTTCGGAATAATACGATATGAATATAATATGTATGTTTGTTTGTGGAATATCATTGATTGCGATATGTAACGAATAATCCGTTTGCAATTGGCTTTATCTGGGTTGGAAAAGTTGCGGGTCCGATTATTAAGTATAAAATCGTGATGTAACATATGTTTAATTCATGGCAGATACATACATGCGCGTTATATGGAATCGATGAACATTTCTTCACGCTATAAAACTCGCTCGAAATTTGCAAAATTGCTTCGCGGGCTTCACGGCCTGAAATGCCGGGAGGGAATGAATATTCAATTAATACGGTCGATCTATAGAATCGATAGTTCCTGTTTGGAGGTGACCAACTTGGTTACGAGCCTGACACGAGGGGAAGGAGACAACGTTCTCTCCTCGCGAGATCCCGGATGAGAGAAGGTGGTTTAACCGAAATAAGGCATCGCCGCCCTTAGTTCGACCAAACTTCACCAATCGCCGCCGTGGCATCGGTAATCCAGAGGCGGAGCCAAGACGCGAGTCTCGAAGTCGGTCTCGGTCAGCCCGAGTCCCCATTGGCGAAGTTCAGAGACGAGGCAGCATTAATCGCGCTGTTCACCGGCGAGACGCAACGTGCTCGGTGAAGCAAGATGGCTAGCCCGACAATAAATCGCACGTCATCGTGTTTTCGATACAAACCAAACGAGCGAAAAGATGGTGGGCTCGAAAAAAAGACGCTAAAGATGAACCATTTCTTCAAGGACAAAAGTATGAATCAGCATCAGGGGTGAATTGAAAAAGAGAGAGAGAGAGACGAAGGATGTGCGTGGAATGTATATCGCTATCATTTTGTAGATATTACACGATTGAAAATTTCAATTCAAGAGGATGAGTCACTTTATTAATTTAAAATATATGATATTCAAATATATGATATTCAAATCATTTTTTCTTTATAAAATAAAGAAACTAAAAAAGAAAACATAATTAAAATTTCTTCATGATGTAAATTTTATTTAAATATTATTTAAATAAAATAATATTTAAATTTTATTTAACTATTATTTTTATATTCGATATTGCACTTCATCTCTTTTTGCGACAAATTTAAAAATAAAGAAACTAAAAAAGGAAACATAATTAAAATTTCTTGATGTAAATTTTATATATTTAAATATTATTTAAATAAAATAATATTTAAATTTTATTTAAATATTATTTTTATATTCGATATTGCACTTTATTTCTTTTTACGGCAAATTTAAAATAATAAAAAATGTATTAAAATATTGGTAATTTACAAATAGAAATGATATAAAAATTATAATTAAAATATATGAAAGATTATAAAAATATAAGTATAATATTATGTATTCTCTTCAAGATTTATAAAATGAGATAAAAAACTTTAGCTTCTAACAATTTTATTTGCATAGTTTTCTCGGGAAAAAATGGCTGTCACGTCGAAAATGCATGGAGATCACGTCCTTCATAGAAAGGTCTTGCCGCTGCAACCTTTACTTAACCTTGGCCAACGCATTTGTTGTCTTATGGACGTTGTAAACCTGGCTATCTGTGCCACATATTGCAATTTTGTTCCAAGACAGTCGGAAGATAAATGTGGAAGATTCGCATTAGCGACGGAAATGTGACGAGAGTAAAAAGTGACGAATAGTAAGAGAGAAACTGGTTTTACGTGTCTCTTGCCAAAAATTTGAAAAATGCTTTGCTCTTACGTAAAGGTCAATTTGTATGTCTCAATATTTGGTTGAGAAATTTCCTGTATTAATAAAAAAGAGAGAGAGAGAGAGTTGACTACATGTATAATAATATTTACCTTCCTTTGTAGAAATATTACTTTCAAAATATATATTTTATTATTATAATAAATAATATTTAATCGTATTTTTTGATATTAAAATATCTTTTCTCTAATATTTAAAATCCCCTCAATCACTTATAACTCAAAAGTTCCTGGCATTTCGATTATTTCTAAGAAAAAAAATTAACTCCTTAAATTTATTTAAAAAAGCGATTCATTTTTAAAATCTTTCCACATATAATAATAAAAGGGAATTTCGATATTTAAGAAACAAATTGGAAACGAAGTCTTGGGGGATCGAGAAAAAAGCCAAATATTAATCACTTACGATTGTCAAATGCATCTTAAGAAATTATATTCTCATGTAAACATCAAATTGTATTTATTATATGTGAATATGAGAACTGAATGAATACTTTATGCCCTCGATTATCGCAAAAAAGGAAATAGTGACCTTTTAGAAATTTAGCAGCAATGATAGCAACATGCCCGAAAAGAGAAATGTAATTGACCGTGCCAAAAGTGCATTAAATCGGTCAAAAGCTTCGAAAGATTTGTAATTAAGCATCTAATTAAGCTTTTAAAATAAACTACTTTCGTTAACTCATTTGTCAAATTTAATAAGAACACGCATTACGTGTTTCACGTACGATAATTTCAATGAGAAAGAAACTGAATCACGGAAGAAATGAATGAAAAAATCAATGTAAAAAAATACTAATTTTTCTATTCTATTTAATAAATGAATAATGTCGGTTTCTTTCCTATCTTATTGCTAGCAACAAGAATCCTATCAAGTCAATAATGATTTTCAAATCTACGCGCAATATTTCGCAAAAATGTTTTAGCATCGATTGCAAATAATAAGATGCGCTTAACTGATCTTTTCGTCATTTACTTTATTCCATCGTGACTTTTTGCATATTTTGCAGTCTTTTTTTAAACATGCATTATACACGAGAGGCAAAATTATTGTATTTTTAAATATATTTTTCATTATACATGTACAATGTTAAAACGAGATGTCGAGAGATTGGTTTTCGTGTTTCGGGGGGAAAAGTGAAAAACTCGAGAACAAATGCGCAGACGGATCGGAAATTACAACCTTACGCACATTCGCAACACAAAAGGGAGAAACGATACTGCGATGTACTTTTCCTATTTCCTCGACGGATAGATTTCCGAGCAAAAAAAATATAGTTTAAGATCTCGAGATAATAACGTACATCGGAAATGGATGCAACATTTTGCGTTACATAATTTCTTATACTTAAATAGTTAAATAATTGTCAAATTTTAAATAATTATCAAATTCATGAATAAACTGAATAAATACTTTGCACATGTTATTTCGCAAGATAATAATGGCAGATACATGTAATGTTTACATAGTTTCAAACACCAGGCTTTTCATATTTACATATATTTGAATACGAATTTTTTTGCAAAATTGCAAGAGCCAATTTTTACGAAAAATTTCGATATACATTTTCTTTTTCTCGCAATTATATTATTATATTTAATAATGTTATATTTAATAACACAGAGTTTGTTTTATCACAAGAGAGCAATATTATAACGCGATATGTCGCAACTTTTATATCGGTCGTCCGAATAGCAGGAAGCAATTAGTTTGATAACTATTTATTTATTTATAGAAGGGGAAAATCCCTCTAATTATGCGTAGAATATAACATACAGCGATTATTCACGATGAAAAAAATAAAAAAATAATATCAAGATGGCGATGGGAAAAAGTATGAAATTAAAAATGCGGAGAAAATAATCATAAATATTGAAAATAAAATAGTAATAACCGTTCAAACGAATTAGATCGTGCGACTTGTGTAATGAAAGACTCACCTAAATCCATAGGGTACAACCAACTGTTGATGTCCAAAATAAGATCCATCTTGAAGGACTCTGATTCGCAGTGGAGTCTGCTCACTGAAAGCCACAAAAAAGAGCATATCGTTAAAAACGCGTGATGCGATGCACTATTATAATTGGACTATTGATTACGCAACGCTATCGAGATGAATCATAAATTCGCTCGGAGGAATCGAGAGGGAAAATCATTTTCGCTCCAAGACGCGGCTGACGTCACCGATGGTCAAACGCGTTTTCAATTTGCAATATTATCGGTAAACACACACACACGCAAATACTCACACTTTTATCTATGATTTTGTCAAATCGAATGTCTCTCTCTTTTATTCCCTTATCAATTTTGTCGGCTAAGCGCTTTTGATATTCGAGATGAAAAAGCAGTTGGACTCGGAGTCTATTGCCATATCATCTCGTTCGAGCGATAATAGTGTCGAGTTAATTCCGGACTCGATAATGAAAAATTTTTGTAACTCCAAGTCGTCGACTAAGATCGCGTATACAAGTCTAAAAGGAAGCCATCTACAACCGTGATTAATTGATGCAAAAATTCAATATATAAAGTTAGTAAACTGACTGTTGTATTTGATGACATTTTATTTATTATGTTATTAAAAATCAATTATATATCGTATGTTATAATTTCTAATATTTCTAATATTTTTTCTAAATGATAGTATTGTATAAATGTATAAATTTCTAAATGATAATATTGCGTAATTGTATAAATTTTGCAAATTTTTTCAGAAATCTCTTCAACATCATTGTTAATAAAAAATAATAAATTGACAATTAGGAGCATATTTTAATTTATTTCATGATTTCTATTTTTTGCTATTTTCTTCCGTTAATCTCAAATTAATTATACGCGAAAGTATGTTAAATTGAAAACATGAGGAGGAAAATAAAATAATCGAGTTGCAATCGCGATATGTGCATGAAAAGTGAAAAATTGCAACGCTCAAAAATTTGAAATAGAAATACATTAGGTTTTAAAGAAACTACCGATGTGTTGCATTAGATTAGATAAGAATCATCAGTAAGAAAATAAAAATACATCACGAGTCGTATCATATATTTGCAACTGCGATATTGTTCTGTCACAAACTCGAGTCGTGTCGAAGCTTATTATGCACGAAACAAATGCATTTTTTTCCGCTTATTATGCGTAAGATGGATCTTTTTTAGACTGACAGCTTACATTAATCTATAATTAGCTTCACATAAATATCTTGCTCTCAAGCTACAAATAATATGGCACTTTAAATAAGACTACGTCATTTTGTTTAAAAAATCAAATTCGAGGCCTGGAAGAAAAAGCACGCATCACAAAGGAGCTTTCATCCTTATTTTAAACAACATAATGTGAAACGTTTCTCATGTTACAAGGGGTGTATTCTCTCTCAGCATCAATACTTTTTGTATGCGACACAAATAATTGGATGATTTGATCGCGAGTTACACATGTTGTGCCTCGGGTGAGTCTCGATATCCCGCTCATCCTTCGACAATACAAGATTCATATTCAATATTTATTTCGATAATGTGTACCGTCCACGATAATCTAATACCGATGTCATTTTCACACGACACGAGCGATCGCGAAGCGAATTATCAGCCACGTAAATCGAAATCGGCGAAAGCGCGATCGAGAAGAAAAATATATTTGTGCGCAAATAAGATTCGCATTTTGATAATAAAGTCTAATATAAACAGCTCCTGGTACGATATATAAACTTGTATAATTTTTCACTTAAGTATATCCCTCTAAAAAAAAATCTTACAAAGGTAAAAGAAATACGCCAAGTACATAAACAAATATTCTATCTTGTATGCACGTTTAATAAAAAAATTCCTTTATATTCGAAAATTTACGTATGCAATAATGCAATATTACAAAAGTCTGATTTTTTTCAAATATAAGGAATTATTTTCTGAAATTTACTCCTTTTTACTCATCACTCTCACTGATTTCACCAACTTCTCTTTCGCGTATTTTGATTATAATTATATTCCTATTATTTTATTTAAGAAATTCCTATCAATCAATTTGAAGATTTTGTCCTTTCTCGATATTCCACTTCACAATAATTAATATACAGAAAACATTTATTGTCGAATTTTGCAAAGATTTCGACCGTCTTTTGGGTAAATGTGCGACCTTAAGTAGCGTTCCTTTTTATTTATCGCGAGAATTAATAATCGCCGTCGCGAGAAATGATTTCCAGAGCTACTCACGCGAGTAATCCGCTTTCCATCGCTCGCCGATCTAGGGATCCGGGAGTGTCGGTAAAACGGAAGTAGGAAGAGCGTATGCACTAGCGACGTTCGCTCGCACCTCCTTTCTTTTCGCCCACGCATTCCACAGTTCTCCCCAGCTGATTCCGCCCTCTTTGTCTCGCATCTTTCCTCCCCTCTGCCTTCCTCCCCATCCCCTTCTCTTTTGTCTCTCTCGCTTTTACTATCTCTTCCTTTCTTCCTCGCCTCTCTCGCTTTTAATATCTCTTTCTTCCTTTCTTCGTTCGCGTTTACTCTATAAATTTCACTGCTATAAATACACCGCCATTGAAAAAGCCATCTCTTTCTCTCTTTCTCTCTCTCTCTCTCTTTCTCCAGAATTCACGACGGTGAAAAAACGTAGCTAATTTTGAAGCAACGATAAGCACTATGATCGTTGCTGGCGTTGCTCTCAGCTGACAATCTTGACAGGGAAGCGAGCAAACCGACGACGGTGGCGCCTAAGAGGAGAAACATCAGCAACGGCGACCTTTACGGTCCATCCATTGCCGGCGTAAATTTTCCAACGAGCTGCTTCCCCTCTTCTCGGGGAAGGACGACCGCCCTCCGAGCGGCTCATGCCACCCCCGCGTGCCTGCCTCGTCGAGAGAGTGGAGGAGGTTGCAGCCTCCCTCTCGCAGTTCACCAACACCTCTACTCGTTCTCCATACTTTTCACATCAAATGAATTGATGGTGCATCGCGAAAACAATGGGACAGAAGAAATATTAGAAGCGAGCTTTTGTTATCGATAATCTGTATTTGTTTCAGATTATCGAGTTTCTGTCTATTCTGTTTTATGATGCATTTTTACGATATAAATATAAAAAAATTGATGAAGAATTTTATCAGAAATTTTGACTTGGACGTCCAGAAGAAAGATATTATCGAAAAATGTCACGGAGTTTTTCTACTTGTGTCGAATATTAAGAGGTGTCACATTTCCAAGTCATCCACGCCAAATGAGAGATTTCTCTTTTATTTTTTAGTTTTCCGATATCAGATTAAATGAAGAACAATCAAATTAATAAGTTAAATGACATTGGAAGCTTACAAAATACATGAATAAAATAACACACGAATCAATTAAACATATGTATTAAATATATATATTATATTTCTCAATCATCGCAGCTTTATCTTTATCAATTAACCAGTTTAATGCGAGAGAAATCGATTTAATCTCCGAATTCAATTTCAATCACTGCAGATATACGGGAGTGGATCCAATGTGAAATATACCCTTATTTCAAAACGTGGAAATTTCGACTCGCTGACTTTGCACCAGTTTCAACCCCCTCCGCCCTCCCCGAAAAAAAGAGACATGATAACCTTCACACTTTCGGCAAGTTGAGATGCAACCGGTGCTCATATTTCCAAACTATTTCGCGTTATAACGAAACGAGCCTACCCCCCTTTCGCCGTCATCGAAGGCAGAGGGAGAGAGAGGGAATATAATCATCCCCGCGATGCATCCCGGCGCAGGACAAAAGGGATGGCAATGCACTTACCCCCATCCTACACCGACACACTACTCCGCCTACTCCGAGTCCTTTTTCCCACCCCGGTTGTTCTATCTTATCTTCCCCTCATTTCCGCCTACCACTCGCAACAGCGAAAGGATTTTATCCTTTCGCCCTCCTGTTCTCGCTCTCGTCTGTGGTTATCTGGCTCAGGTTTTTGCTATCCTATTTTTTTTATATGCCCCATTCTTCCCCACTCTAAAGTTTTCCAGTTTGTTATATAGAGTGTTCGCGTGAAAACGCGACTGGAGTTTCAATATCATCGACACTGAGAGAGAGTGTTTAAATTTAAATATTCCTTTCCTTCGACTTCTTTGGATATCATAAAATTTTTTATCTTTGCATCGGTAACCATTTTCCTTTGTGAAAAACTCAATCAAAGAAGCAAAATTACGACTCGCGCATTTTTTTTTAAACAAACGCGTTGACAGTTTGATTCTCTTTTTTTTTACATCGCGTTATCTCTGACTCTATAACTCTTTCTGCGTGCCTTTTTATTTTGGAAAAAAAAAAAACAAAAAAACAAAAAAAAACGCGTCCGCATCTGAGATATTCCTGGCATTTTCTTGATAAAATCAGCGCCGTCGATCAAGATGGAATGGATCGAGTGAAGGCAGAGGCGTTATTTTCAGCCATAAGCGAACCGGGTAAAAAATATCGTAAAATATGTAATGCTTGTTATTTTCCAAATTTTACATTACGTGTTACATTTCACGTTAATAATCTTGAAGGATATTAATATCATCTAGTGAGATCATGTTTCATGATGTCACGATGATGAAAACGAACTTAATGCATCAAATATCAAGCAAAAAAAGTTATCTTTAGAATCTTTATTACTTAAAATCATAGAGATTTAAAATTTAAATTTTAAATATATATTTAATATATATGTAAATATAAATGACACGAATATATTTGTGATACAACGTATTGATTTCTCAAATAATCTAAGCATTATAAATTCAAAGCAATGTTGTTTCTTTTCAATAGAGAGAAAAAAAATTATTTTCCATACGAGGTAAATATTTATTTACGTTTAAAAAATGGACAAGTAAAATTATTTCTATAACTTATTTTTTGAATCTTATATCTCGCAATTTTTCAACTGTACTAAAATTGTAAAGACTTTTACAAATATGGCGGCATCATCGCGCGAGCGATGAGTCAACCCGGATCATTATTAGCAGTTTTTGTTCTGGATAATCGATCGCGGTTTTAATTTAACACTCTCTGCCACGCCATTTGGTCATTTTCCGAC